GGCGCCGGGGGGCCCCGGGACACGGGCAGCCTGCGGTGCGAGCTGCTGGGGGAGCCACGGGACCGCGGGCACTGTGGGCTCCCAGGGATGCACCGAGTTTCTTCTTTTTTTGCTCAACTTTTCTTCATTTTTAAACATCTTAACTTGAAAAAAAACAACCCCAAACTAAGTGGCACAACCATACAGCTACGGGGGTTTCCCTGCCTACTCATTGCTAAAACCTAGGGAAACAGTGGGGGAGTGGGAGAAAGTGGGGGTGGGGGGCGGGGAGGAAGAGTATGGACGCACTCGGGAGGCACACTGCGAAGGGGAGGAAGCTCAGGACCGGCCTCAGACGATCCCAAAGCGTTCTGCTCTTTTCCTCTTCTTTGCCTGCAGGGATGAGTTAGAAGAAAAGGAAAAAAAGAAATCAAAACCAGAGAGAAACAAACAAACGAGCGCTTTAAAACCCCGCACAACCCGATGGAGAGCTCATTGCGTGTTTGGTTTGGGTAACGATGCCGGGGCTCAGCGGCTCCGGCCCCTTCCCGAGCGCACCCACTCCCCCCCGCCCTTAGTTCAAGGCAGCGCGGAGGGTTTTATTCTAAGGCTGGGGACAAAGAGCGCCCCAAAATCAAGAGGCAGGGGTGTACGGTGGCCGAGATCCGGGGCTGCCGAAGGCACTTGGCCTCGCTGGCAAGGCGCTACAAAGGGGCTGAGCCGGGAACAATGACTACTTCAGAGGCCTGGAAACCCTTCCAGGCAGTGGGGAGGTGGGAAATGTAAAAGGGCAAAGGGTTAACACTCTGCTATTCATGGAAAAGGTGAGGGGGACACACTAAAACGCATTAAATATACTATTGCGTCCCTCAGATATGCCCTTACGCCGGTACACGAGGGGCGTATAAATCTTAATTTTTAGCAGGGTAAATAGCCCGGGGGCAACAGAAGCCCCAATCAAGAATCTCCAGGGGAAAGGTGCATTTGAGTGCACACAATACCAGTAAAAAGACCTTTTTGTTCCAGGCACAATCTCCAAGTGACCGAACGGAAAAGCATGGAATCCCTCGCCCAGCCGCCCCCTCCGCGCGGGCCGGAGGGGCTCATTCTCCCATGCTCAGCAGAAGGCTGGGAACGCCGCTGCACGCGGGGCAGTGTTTCGGCAGTCAACCCAAAGCCAAACACACACACACACACACACACACAAAAAGCAGCCCCCAAACCCCACCTGAGCCGCTGAGGTCGCTCTTAGGAACCGAACAAAACCCGCTTCTCTGCCGAGCCCCCGAGC